GTATGGCCTGATTTGCCCAAGGACAAAAAAAGCGTTGACTATCTACAACAAAATTTAACATGCAAGGAAAGCTGTTGGAATCTTCCACTGGAAAATGAATACACATACCTTTGCTCAGAACTGTAGTAATTGTGGTAATTGTGCAAACGTAACATTTCATATCTGTATGAGACGTTCCAGCATATAAATCAAATGACTTCACATTTGAAATTAATAATTTGGAGTAGTACTCCCATATAACGTTAGCAGATTGAGTAACAACTATACGTTACGGCAGAAAAAGCCACAATATTGTTCATTGAAGAACGTCAGGCAAAACGAACAGCTATTGCATCAAACTAGTAACAAACTAATTGGCATACTGACAAATAGCTGTCAACTGCCCACAGTTCACTAGCTCTGACTAAGGGCTAAAGCTCGAGACTTTAGCTTAGAGACTCTTTACAGTGACCAATTTATATTTATATTTACAAAATTAACCCCTTATTTATCAGCCCACAATGTAGCCTGGCTTATGGAAAGCAATGCCATATAAACGGGTAGCTGCAAGATAAGTCTTTGAACTTTCGCTCTCTGGGTTGAAAAAAAAAACCCGATATGAGTAGACTTCCAATTCAGTGGCATTCACATTATATCATTTTGGCCGATGTCACTGGCTAGCAAGACTTCATTCACCGTCTTGAAATATCGCCCTTGAGCCTCACGACTCTGAGTATTTAGTAAATGCCTCAAACAGTCTTACTTAATGATGGATTGTTTCCAAGGAATTTTTCTCACTCCTAACGATTTCCTTCTCAACGAATCAGAAGCATAATTTATCTTTCAGCTGATGCAGCTTTTACCGCACCTGGTACCGGTTCTAACCCTTGTACAATTATGATCTCTAATGAACTAGTTCGCGCGAAAAATGAATCAGTTCACACGAATAAATCAGAGCATTCAGTTCAATAAAATTTTCCAGCGATTCGCTCTTTTGAAGAAATATCAGAAACTTGCAATAAGCAAGTTCAATGATCCACTTGTGTTAAATAACTCGAAGGAACGTATCCTTTTTGTCCTTGCGCCTCAACAAGCCACCATTCGTCATTCCCTGTCAGATCTTGCTTTTGTAAAACGGCAACTAATTGCCCCTCGTTTACACTAAGCTCTGCTGCACTGCTAGCCTCAAATGCGAAATCAGCACAGTAATATAATGGAGCCGAAGTTTCCACTGTGCTTGTATCTTGATCCTTCTTCTCTGTCGTCAAATTGCTAGGGGAAGAACTTTCATCATCCTCAGCATCGTCTTGACCATCCCCTCCGGTGACACCGTCATCCACCGGAGATAAATAGCTCTCCGGTACAAAACCCGTAGAACCTGCATTTGAGCGGATCAGCCACCATTCTGGGTTACCACTACTGTCCGTGTGTCGAAGGACGGACACGATATCTCCCTCGGATACAGACAACTCCCCTGCACTTTGGGCTACGAAGTTGTATTCGACAACGTAAAGCTTGCTATCTACGGGAAGTTTTCCTTCAAAAAGTGAGCTTTCATTTTCGTTGGGCCCCTAGGAATAGGAGAAAAAAGATTTCCATTCTTTCGCTCTGGCTCAGTATTTACGCCCGTCTCTAAAGTGAGTCTCGTAATCACTTTCACGTACACGAGGCGCTAGGTTTCTTCAAATTTGTGCGTCTTTCAAATAAATTATAAAAAAATAAAAACATTTTTAATAGCCATTTAGATCATCACAGCTTTCGCTATTATTTTGACACCTAAAAAATACGAGGTAAACTACGTACTATATGGTTGTCACGCCTGCAAATTCACTCCACTGAGAGTCAATGAAAGATTCAAATGCTGCATGTAAAGATGATCGATGATAATGAACAATCAAACAGCTGATCACAAAAATTCATGTAGCTTTCAACAGCGTAACCAGCCCAACTTATCTCCTGATGAAGAAATGATCTATGGAGGTTTCGCCACACTGCAAGTTTCCCCCTACCACCCTTGTGAGTTCGCCCCTGAAGTAAAGTGAGTTCGCCCCTAAAGTAAAGTGAGTTCGCCCCCAGTTCTTTCAACTCATTTTCTTTTGATTTTAACAGAATAAGTTCTCTGATTTCAAAAGAATACCTTTTTCTGTAGAGAAACGTTTTGAATGATTTTGTGAGCAAACTTGCAAAAAGCAATAGGAGTCGAACTTGCAATGGGGCGAAACCTCCAGATACCTAAAGAAATAACGAAATCGTCAAACAAACTACGGCAACGCACTTAACTGTTATTTTCCAATTCAACGAAATAGTCCGTTTATTCAACAACTAAAATGTGCTCATTTAGTGACTTACAGGTTGTGTTACGCTACTACGTCTTCGAGGTGCTGGTCGTGGTTGATGAATCCTGGGAGAAGGGGATGTTGGATCCTCTCTCTTGACTACCCCACCCTCTTCACCCTCTTCGTTGGGCGTGGAATCTAATAAACTGGTCTTGTTTCCGTTGTCATCTTCTACCGTATCCTAGATAGATAGAATACAAAGAAATAAGTTAAAACGCTTAGTAATTTCGACAACCTGCGTTCATTGTGACCTTCAAATTCTCTGGTAGTAGAATAATAACATTTCAATTTCAAAAGAATTATTGAACAAGAGAATATAAATCTGAACAGTATAAAAATGAAACATTCACACAAATCAGAATCAAGATAAAAATATCAAACCTACTGGTTTTGAGGTTACGCTGTACATATACAAGTAACACAGTCGTACATGAGAGAACCTTCAAAAATCTCCGTCGGAACTACACACAAATCGAGATCAGTTTATCAGCACTTAGGGAGCAGTCATCAATCATATCCGGGGTGGTGGGGGAGGAGAAAGGGGGCTTGGAGGATTTTAGAGGATTACCAAGTTTTCAGGGGAGACAGAGGGGAATCAGTCGTCGCCAACAGAGTATAAAGTGGGGACTATTGAAAATTGTCAGCCAGTCAACTTCCAATGAGGGGTGAAGGGTGGGGGAGGTAATGAAAACATTACAGAGCCTAATGGTTGGGGATCAGGTAAACTTTATCGTGACACAACTAAAATCCTCCAAACTTTCCCCCCGTCTCCCCCTCTTCAGGCAGTAATACAATGACCGATCCCTTAAAATGCGTGGAATGGTGTGACGACAAGGCTCAAAGCTACACGATGGGTTTTACACAACAAACTTACAAGATGGTTGGATAGTAAATTTGGGCTTTTTATCACAGATCTCCTCTTCTTCCGAGAACTGTCTTTTGCCACAAAACTACAAGGTATAAAGCTGAGCTCTGAGAACTGTTCCATAACTTGCATCGATCTCTTGATGTGATGCTCGATAATGTCTTCGTCGATTTCCTGCACAACTGGAAGCTGTAAAAGCAAAACGTTCATCAACAAAATGTCAGACCTAAACGTTCACAGTTAACTTAACACTTTGAAACTGTCTTAGAATCGACCAACGTTGCTTAATTCGCCATCAAAAATGAAAGCTGACTTTGAATTAAGTTTTGTAACCTCCGGCCACAGATGTACATTTTTTCCTGTTTATCAAACGCGTTTCTATTCCATGTGTTTCCGTCATAAACGATATTTTTTGGAAGACAACACAGTCAACACTAAATCAAGAATTTTTTAACCGTCTACAAACTGACATCAGTGAACATATTCTCCAAACTGTTCTCTATATATTTCTTAAAGTGCTGACAAAGAGAATTTGTTAAACAATCAAGACCTTATTTAGTTGGTGATCATTTCCTTTATTCTTGTGTGATGTGTGATTAAGGGGTGATGTTGTTGGGAGAAATTGGATGTTAGTCACTCTCAGGAGTCAAAGGATTAAGGGAAATGGTTTTTGGGTGGAATAGACCCTTCGACCCTGATCAAATGCTCTAAACTACTTCTGAGAAACACCCAGATTAGGCCGCAAAAAACTGCCATATACGACTGCAAAATCTTCGCCTGGCTCATTTACGATGTTTGCATGCACGTGGAAATCACAGTACCTCTAAAAGTTGGTCGTAGTCTTCGTGAACTTCATTGTACAGTTTCTTTTGTGCTATAGCAAAGTTTTCCAGACAGTCAAGAACTAAAGCTATACACTTCTCAGTAAACCCAGGGATCTCTTCCAGCAGTTGAGTGTTCAAAGCCTCGTAGTTTTTCTTCGCAAGTTCCAGCTCTTCTTTAGCCTGGAAAAGATTTCAGTCCGGCAAAAATCACACAGCATCCTTTACTGAAACATAAAACTTAACCATCCTGATCCAAAGATTCTGAGTCATAATTGTTCTCAGAGAATCATTCCCTTCTCAAAAGGAGCCGGTATCCCGCGGCCAAAACCGCCGGCTAGTCTACCATTTTTTCCCATCTGCTTTCACCTTATTTTACAACTCACCGCTTTCAACTTTTCTCGGTCTTTAATCTTGTCAATCTTGTTTGACCTGTGGTCGTAGTCCAAGCATTTATCGTTTCGTTTTTGGATTAAACGCTGGGGGCCTTGAAACAAGTTGAGTAAGGAGTTGAGCGGGGATAAAACCTGCGTTTGAACACTGTCCATCTGTCGAGGGATAAATTTCATAAAGACCAAACGTTTGAAAAACTTCTTTCATGATAAAGTTACCGCAAACGTCCTTAAAAATAAGGAATTTTATAAACAAATACAGTCCAAGTGTTAGCGAGACATCTTTCCTGATACAGCTGTTGCAAACGTCCTCGAAAAGATATGAAACAAACGCCTTCAAATCCTCGTTCTAAAATTCAGACAGTCAATAAATACTCATTGCGCTAAAAAAGGTCAGTCCGCATGTCT